CGGGGGGGCTGTACCCCCAGGGGGGGGGGGGGGGGAGTAGGTAGTTCCGGTGGCGCCGGAAGTTGTTCCCCTTAGTGTCCTCGGAGTGGGTGGGTCTGGAGAGACAGATTCCGGGGGGAGTAGGGACGGGGCAGGACGGGGCATTTGGCGCGGGCGGTGAGTCAGATCGGGGGCTCCCATCGGGGTGTGGAAGAGGCTGGGTGTTGTCTTGTTGTTATTCTCCCCCCCCACCCCCACTGTGGTACATCCCTAGGGGAGGGGGAGCTGCCCCTCGTCATGCTGTAGGACACAAGTGGCCTGCGGAAGCCAGTCCTGGCAGGCGGAGGGATGGACGGTGCCAGTCCCTAATAGCCAGTCACGGAAGGTGGCGGGGTTGAGGCCCGGTCCACGGGAGCCAATCTTAGCAAGGGGTGGTGTTGGCTCCCCCCAGTCCCAGCAGACGGGCTGGCAAGGGCGGTGCTAGGCCCCCGGGAACCAATCCCAGCATATGGCAGTTGGCAGGGGCTGTGCCAGGCCCCCCAGGGACCAGTCCCAGCATGTGGCAGCTGATGGGGGCGGTGCCAAGGCCCCCAGAGACAAGTCCTAGCAGGTGGTGACTGGTGGGGGTGGTGCAAGCCCTCTGGGGACCAATCCCAGGGGGGAGGAGGTTGCTGGGCCCTAGGGCTCCATGCAGGGAACCCAGGGGTGAGCCCTGCTGCTCTAATGTGTTCCTGCCCCCAGGAAAGCAGTGGTAGGTGGGAGCCAGTACTGCCCCTGAGCGCTGTGGGTCAGGCAAAGCTGGGCCTGTTTGTCGCACAAGGCCCAGCAACCACTGGCTCCTTCTGCTCTATGTGCATCCTGCAAGGGGTTTCATGGGGCGACTGGTGTGAAGGCCGGGTCCGGAGGGCAGGGCAGAGGTACTTTAGGCATCTAGAAGAGCGCTCTGGCCAGTGCCCCCTGGCCCTCCAACGAGTCAGTTGAGCCAGTGGCCACCACACAGTGACAGCAGAGATCGTCAGTAATGACAGCGTCAGTGAGGGACAGGCCTATGTGTCACCCTTCTAAATTGTGTGGCCCCAGCCCATCAAGTTTCTCATTAGCCTCCTTCAGGTGGGGAGGCTACAGGAAAAGGGGACAACAGATTCCTTGGGGCAAAAAATGCAGGGATGTGAGTGCTGATCATAGGTTTGAAACAAGAGTGCCAAGAACTGAAAATTTTCCTTGTGGACACCCTGGGGCCCCCTTCCCAGCTGAGCCTCTGAGTCCATACCCAGATATGAACTTGCAGCCTTTCCACCAGGAGGTTAGCGCACAAACCCCTGAGCCAGACAACAACATGAGCCAGTGGGCTTTCCCAACTTTTCTGCCTCCATGAGGGACAGGAAGAGGGGCCGACAGTCACTGGGAGTCTCTGGGTGAACCACTGAGATAGCTACAGCTGGGTCAGACCCCAGTGCCCCCTTCTCTGATTCTGGAAACCTCCAGTAGTTGAACTGAAAACCCATGTGGGTCATAACCTGTGGACTCCCCCATCACACACACGTACACCCCTTTCTAACACCCTCTTCTAGATAGCACAGGTGGGAAGGTGCTGGGGTGGGGAGAGGCTGAGTCTTTGGAAAAGGCTGAAAGAAGGAGGTGCAGATTCTGTTCAGAGCTCAGTTATGCCTCCCTCCCCCTCACCTCTTCAGTGTTGTTTAACAGATCCTGTTTGCTTTGGGCACTGGATACGTGTGTTGTGACTTGTGTTAGGGGCCTGATGTGGTGGTGGGATTAGCATCACATAAGTAATGGTGGTTCAGTAGAGAGAAATATATGGATGGCTTTAAGCCAGTGATTCTTAACAAGGGTGCCATGTCACCTTGGGGTGCCTTGAGAGCCTTTCAAGGGTGCCGCAGGGTACCACCCAACGTCAGCACTAAGTAACATTTGCAAAAAAACCCATGAAAATGGAGAATGGCATTTTGCAAGGGATGCTTTGGGTCTGAAAAGATTAAGAACCGCTGCTTTAAACAAAGCTTCTGGAATGCCCATCTAAGAGTTTAGAAGTATGGTAACTTAATAGCCCGTTTTCTTTCATTTTAAAATATTTTAAAATTATTCTTTTCTCTTTTACAGTGGGGGGAAAAAAAGGAAATCATGATGTCATCTACACCTGCTGCACAGTCATCGTCTAAGCAAACTGTAGCATCCCAAGTGCCTTTTGCAGATCTCTGCTCAACTTTAGAACGGATGAAGAAATGCAAATCCCGCCCAGAGAAAACCAAGTATTTCCAGGATTTTTTAGATTCATGGAGGAAGTTTCATGGTGCCCTCCATAAAAAGGAGAAGAATGTCATGGACTCTTTTTATCCCGCAATGCGACTTATTCTTCCACAACTGGAAAGAGAAAGAATGGCTTATGGAATAAAAGAAACCATGCTTGCTAAGCTGTATATTGAACTACTTAATTTACCCAAAGAAGGAAAAGATGCCCTAAAGCTTTTAAATTATAGAACACCAGCTGGTTCACGTGGAGATGCTGGGGACTTTGCAATGATTGCCTACTTTGTATTGAAACCCAGGTGCCCAGAGCAAGGCAAATTGACTATTGAACAAGTGAATGAACTTCTAGATTCAATTGCCAGTAATAATGCTGCTAAAAGAAAGGACCTGGTAAAGAAAAGTCTCCTTCAATTAATAACTCAGAGCTCAGCACTTGAACAAAAGTGGTTGATCCGGATGATTATAAAGGATCTAAAACTTGGTGTGAGTCAGCAAACCATATTTTCCATTTTTCATCCTGATGCTGCTGAATTACACAATGTCACGACCGATCTGGAGAAAGTTTGCAGACAGCTGCATGACCCTTCTGTATCTCTCACTGACGTTTCCATTGCATTGTTTTCTGCCTTTAAACCAATGCTTGCTGCTATTGCTAATATCCAGCAAATTGAGAAGCAAATGAACAACCAGCGTTTCTACATAGAAACTAAGCTAGATGGTGAGCGTATGCAGATGCACAAAGATGGAGACGTATACAAGTATTTTTCCAGAAATGGATATGATTATACCCAGCAGTTTGGGCCGTCTCCCCTAGAAGGTTCGTTAACTCCATTTATTCATAACGTGTTTAAAAGTACCATACAAAACTGCATTCTTGATGGTGAAATGATGGCTTACAATCCCAACACACAAACTTTCATGCAGAAGGGAAACAAATTTGACATAAAAAGAATGGTGGAGGAATCTGATCTGCAAACGTGCTTCTGTGTGTTTGATGTACTAATGGTTAATGACCAGAAGTTGGGTCATGAGATACTAAGCAAAAGGTATGAGATTATGAATGAGGTATTTACCCCAGTCGCAGGCAGAATACATGTTGTGCACAAAACACACGGTAGTACCAGAAAAGAAGTGGTCGATGCGCTGAATGAAGCAATAGACAACAGGGAAGAAGGAATCATGGTAAAAGATCCTATGTCCCTCTACAAGCCGGACAAACGTGGAGAGGGCTGGCTGAAAATCAAACCAGAGTATGTCACTGGCTTGATGGATGAATTAGATCTTTTAATTGTTGGTGGCTACTGGGGAAAAGGGTTGCGTGGTGGCATGATGTCTCATTTTCTGTGTGCTGTTGCAGAGACTCCCCCTCCTGGTGGAAAGCCATCTGTTTTTCACTCTATTTGTCGTGTTGGTTCTGGCTATACTATGAAGGAACTTTATGATCTTGGTCTGAAACTGGCTAAGCACTGGAAGCCTTACCGTAAAAGAGAGCCCCCTTGTAACATTTTATGTGGGACTGAGAAACCTGAGGTCTACATCGAACCTTGTAACTCGGTCATAGTTCAGATTAAAGCAGCAGAGATTGTTACCAGTGATATGTACAAAACCGACTGCACTTTACGATTTCCTCGAATTGAGAAAATAAGAGAGGACAAGGAGTGGCATGAATGCATGACTTTGAGTATGTTAGAACAGCTCAGAGGCAGAGCATCAGGAAAGCTAGCATCAAAGCACCTTGATGTAGCTAATAATGAACCACAAGAAAAGAAACGGAAAACTGTGCCAAAGATTAAGAAAATAATTGGTATTGCTGAGCAGTTTAAAGCCCCTGATCTTTCTAATGTAAGCAAGGTGTCAAATGTTTTTGAAGATGTTGAGTTTTGCGTTCTGACTGGAACAGAAAACCATTCAAAATCCGACCTTGAAAGCAAAATTGCAGAATGTGGTGGCAATGTAGTACAGAATCCTGGACCGGACACTTATTGCATCATTGCAGGAATTGAGAATGTAAGAGTGAAGAACGTTATCTCTTCCAATAAGCATGATGTTGTGAGAGCAGAGTGGCTTTTACAGTGTTTTCAAACCAAAATGTTTGTACCATGGCAGCCTGCTTTTATGATTCACATGACTCCAGACACAAAACAACATTTTGCACGTGAATTTGACTGTTACGGTGACAGCTACTCGGCAGATATAGATGTGGCTCAACTAA